TTCCCTAAGTTTGGAATGGCAGCAAGCACCTTGCCACCCGAAAGGGAGTTAAGCCAACTCACTGAGACTGACAGAGCAAGAGATGGTAAAAACAAACAAAACAACTGAGTTCCTGATGACACACAGTGGTTAAATTCTGCAACCCTGAAAATACCCAACCACAATTCAGTAAGACTTCGTTACTTTGTGATTTCCTGTCATGTAAGAAAGTAAATTATCTGTATTGTGTAATCCAATGATGGAGTTCTTGTAATTTATAAGTAACCTGTCCCCCTACAAGGATCAGAAATGGTGGTCAGTGAACCTCCTCTGTGATAGGAATTATACAGCTGACACTCCATGGCCCTTCGCTGGGTGACTGATTTGAACATTGCTGGTTTAATTGAAAGGGATCTGTGCTGCTTCAGCACAATATCCAGTTTTAGGGAGAATAAGAAAGGCTTACCAAATGCAGTTCTGGGAACTGGTAAGTAGAGAGGGGAAAAAAGTTCAAGTTATTCAGCATCAGGTCATTAAACAAGATTAATCCACGTTGTTCCATACAGTCTGGATCACTGGCATGTCTAAAACAAGAGTTCTCTTTCACTGATGCTCAAGAGCAGTGAGGAGACCACGTTAGTCATTAATTCCAAACTCCCAGACAGTGTCAGCATAAAGAATGCTTTATTTTAATGTTTCCCCACACAACTCCCAGGCCCCTGAGAGAGAGAAGCCCATGCTGAACTGACACAGAAACATCTCTCTATAGATTCTTCTCAATAAAGAGGCCTACTTTCCCTAAACTTAGATACAAGACAAACATACCTGCAGAAACAGATGATTTGGTATACGTTCTGCTGTGTGTATTTTCAACAACAAAAATAAAATAAATTACTTGAAAAATAAAAACTCTTAACAAATTCCAATTGGCTTTGCCTATTGTACTCCCTTCTTTCAGCCTCATTAATCTGTCCACTGTCTTTCTAGAAACTGTTTAGGTACCAAGTAGTTTCAAGGGTATACCTCTAGGGCTTTACTAATTTGCATATAATTTGCTATAAAAATAGCAAATTTTCTCACTGAATTCTAGGGGCTGCATATCACACTCTCACAACCTACTGCTGCTGCTGCTTAGCTCTCATACTCCCATTCTCTCTCTGAAGCCACCAACAGAGACTGTCGGTACCATTAAAAACAACAAAAATTCACTGCCATCAAGATGATTCCAACTCATAGGGAGGGACCCGCCCCCAAGGAGGGGCCCGTCCCCACCCCCGGGTTTCTGAGGCTGTAAGCCTATGAGAGGAGGAGAGTGACCATTTTTCTCTGTGGGTCTGCTCGTGGATTTGAACCACTGGAGATGTCCAGCCTTCTGGTTAATATCACACTAACTCACTACCGTCTATGCCATCAGAACTCCTTCCTTGTATCACAACACCCTTTCTATTTTTAACAATGGATTCTTAGCTATGACACTAAAAGCACAAACAATAAGAGACAAAATAGGTAAATTAGAATAAATCAAAATGAAGTATTTTTGTTACCTAAAAATTTTATGGAAAAGATAATCTACAGATTGGAAGAAAATTTGGTGGAACTGTGTATTGGATTAGGACTGGTGAAGAGGTGGATAAATCGTGAACCAGACAATTCAGGAATCAGCAGCAGCAGCATCAAATATAAAGCCAGGCAAATTAAAAGCATTTCAAAAATTCTACCTGTAACAAATGAACCTGCAATTTCAGCCTGTGCTGTAAAAATTTAAGGCAATGCAATCTGTAATCAGTAAGTATAAGCACACAGAAAGTAGCTAAGCCCCCACAGGACTTTTCTATAGAGACCGTCAACCATAGTATTTCCTTCTTAATATTTTAACAATCAACACTATACTTTAAAAACCCTTTATACTAACTATATGTCTTCTATTACAATAACGCTGCCACTACAGGAGCACTAACTAGGAAAGAAAAGCAGAACACTGAGTGTTCCTTCACCAAAAAAACCTGAAAAGGCTACCACCCACACACGCTTACACAGGGCAGCCAGAGGACAGGCGGGCACCTGTGTGTATGCTGAGCTACAATTGCATCCATTGTTGAAATGCAAATGAGTGCAGAGGTGGAAGGTGCACTGAGAAATGAAGAAGAAAAATGCAATGTCAAATATCAGTCAGAAAGCTGACAGTTTCCTGCTAACATGTAAAGGACATAACACAGCAAGAAAGGTTATACACACAGCATTGCTTCAGGTACCTTCTGTTACTCAGGATTTAAAAAACGCCTTATCTGCATTTAGATAAAGAATCATGAATTTGGAAGAACATGCAGGAGAAAGGCAACGTAGGGTAAACTGGTAGGGCTGAGGTTTGTTACCATTAGAGATTTTAAAACAGCTGAAGCTTGGAATGTTTTCTAAGAAGAGGAATTTAGACATTAATGAAGACCAACTTTAAAGGATTACTAAAGGAAAAAAAAACAAAATGTATACAAATTGGAGAATGAAAATGTTCACGTAAACTACAACTGGGGGAAAAAAAGTATTTAAACTAGCATTTAATTGGGTTTGAGGCCCATTTTCCTCAAAGGACTATGAGCACTATCGAATTAATCTTTACATATGGACTAACAGCCCAATCAAATATATATATAAAAATATTATAAATTCAATCTGTCACCATACCAGTAGCTCAATGCTTGTTCTGACTGACCAAATAAGCTTTCTGCAGATTCTTCCTTTACAAATACCTGTTATTAAGATATGTCCTTTTGTCTTATATCCAGAATTTATGAAATACTTGAGCACCACAACAAGATAAAGGTAAATAATCCAATAGAAAAATGGGCACAGGATATGAACAGGCAC